CTTTATTGATCTTTAGTCCTGCCACTTCGCCATATTCTTCTAATTTTTGAATTAATTTCAGGCTGGATTCTAATGGATCCTCGAGTCTAGAACAAATACTAAGTCATCGGAGGTTTTTTTTAAATTATGTGTTTCCTCTGATAAACAGCCCTCTTGCTGTTTAGGCTTTAAAAGTTGAAAAATAGTACTATTGGTTTATTCCAAAATATAAGCCCTTGAAATCCATCAAGACTTACTGACTTTCCTAACTACCCTACCCTCTGAATTTAGGAGAAAGAAGTACTGTTGATTTGGTAGTATTTCCATCATTCATTTCCATATATTTGCTCTGCCCAACCTAGTTCAGAAGTATTGGCATTGCAATACTTGGAATTCTCAAACAACATGGCCAGGGCTGCTGAGAATTCTAGGAATTGCAATTCCAATAGGTCTTGGAGGCATGGGTTCAGGAACGTGATCTATATCTATGCAAAAAGTGTGATCATACACTTTGCTTTTGCCAAAGGATACTGGAACTGATGGTAATTCAGTTTGAGACGCATAATTTAAAAGTCACCAAAACTGTTCTAGCCTAATGAAGATTTGTTTTTGTTTTTTAAATAGCTTGTTCATCCTCATAAAGTTTATGTATTCTTTCCCTCTGGATATAAATGTCCTATATTTGTTAAAAACAAACAATTTAACTGCAATCTGCAAAAATTACGTGATAAAGTTTGCATCCAAGCAGCTCTGCGTTTGGAAGTGCCAGACACATCTGTCTGTCACTTTTACTAGAGAGCAGATAATGTACATGGCAACTTTTAAAACTAAGAATACAAAATGCAAAGATACAAGTATATATGCCAAGCTTACACCAACATTTTGTCCTTTTAATAAAGAAAGCAAAAAAGCAAGTGACATTCAAAGTCTAAGGATGAGGTATGTGAAAAGTAGCAGAGTTAATTCTCACTAAATCTGATACTTCTAGAATTTTATTTTATTAAATAAATTGCAGGTTTGTCATCATGCCTACTCAGGCCATTGGTAAAAAAAAGAGTATATTCTAGAGAATAAAAGTTGGGGCTTAATGCAGGCATAAAAATTTAGCATTAAGTATTTACATCAGAAAGCCACTTGTACTTCAATGCCACATTTTGTGTAAATATTAACCGAAGATGACGCAAGAAATTTGAAGTGTTACATATTTGAAAAAGAAGAACATTCATAGGGATATGAGTTAGGCACAGGACTTTTCATTGAATCAAAGTAAAATCTAATAGAAAAACCTAACATTTTTGAGCTATCAGACTTGTTTAGCTCAAGAAGTATAAATTTCTATAACTCTTCTACTGTTAGGATATCATTATAGCATTTCTTCATTTTAGTCATCTCAGCTGCCTTGCAAGCAAACAGAAACTGAGCAGTTTGTTTAAGACAGTCAAAATCTTTGTTGACTGAATAAGAATTTGAACTTTTAGCTCCTACCTTTCTATGTCTTGGTGTAAACAAGAGCATCTAGCAATATGGAAGAACTACAGTATATGGGTTCCATGTAGATGTTTATGATTCTATAAAAGGGAGGGTTGCTTGAATTACAGCTAATCTAAATTAAGTTCATGGAGATTTCAATGTTCCTGAAACTTTTTTTCTCATGTAAGAAGTTGTGTCCTAGAATTCATAGAGATTAACAGTAAAAAGATGTGACAGGAGGCTTTTTGACATATTGCTTCTGAATGGACACTTTTCAAGGTTCAGATGCCAAGTTAGAATGTCCATGTTTACACATAATTACATAAATAAAGTCACAGTTTATTCTTTTTCTAAACCATAATGGCAGGGTTCATCCAACGTTCTAAACCAAAATCATCTAATCATATTTTGATTTAACTTACATTATAGGAATCCATCCAATCTGTGTAGACATCAAAATCTAATTTATTGATTAAAAGACCTGACAATTCAGTGCCTTTGAAGTATTGGTTTTAATGCATTTTTTGTAAAAAAAAAATTAAAAATCCATGCATTTACCTGCAACATGAATACTGTAGACCATTGTTGGCCACCTGGTCAAGTGCCAAAACGGAAACATGCGCACATGCCGGAAATTGGAAAAGCAGATTATCTTCTGGTTTCCGGTGTGTGCATGCGCACTGGCCACCTGGTCTTCTGATTTCTGGCTCACATGCAACGTACAAAAATCAGCTGTCTGGTGTGCATGCACTGGCTCCACCTGGCCTTTTGGGGGTCCTCACGCCCCCCCCCCTGCCCGCCCCCCTAGACCCTGTCTTGGTGGCGGGACATCTCGACCGGCAATCCGGTTCTGCAGCCGCAGACATTATAAACATATAATATGTACAGTTTTAAACTTCTCCCTTACAACCACTTTATAATCCTCAAATGTCTGTTTTCTTGTTCTAGCATTCTAAAGACAAGCACATTGATGGAGCCAAATCAGTTTTCGCAAAGCTTTTGGCTAATGAACATTTGTAGTTCTCAGGAAGCCTTGCTTGTCTATAGTTATGGAAGTTGCATATTTGAACCACCATAGCACTGGTCTCAACTGTTTCCAAAATCCTTGCTAAAAGGCTTCTCTTGAATCTGTAAGTTTTCCTAATGTAGGGCTTCAAAATAATAATAATCATACCTAGTGCCTGTTGTAAGGGAATTAGCTCCCTGCTCCTGCCTCCCTTCAGATTTTTGCCTCATGTAGAAGAGCAAGCAGCTGTGTCTATGATGATGGTGTGGCAATTCCTCCAAAAGAGATTGCATGCAAAACCCTCTGGAGCAAAACACAAGGAGCAGATGTCTGAAATGCTACAGTTTTAGCGGCCTGAAAGCTTTGACTCAGCTTGAGTGAAAAATGCACAGTGGAATGTTCTGAGTCAGTGAAATGTTTTGCGTAGACCTCATCAAGAGAAAGTACTGTACTGTTTAAAAATACATTAGAAGACAGCTTACTTCTTTTGCAGTTCTTCCACCTAGTGGGTATATTCTGTAAGTGCAAGGCCGTGTTTTGTATTCTCGGGAGATAAAATTCCACAGGGAACGTCAATCAAAAAAAATTATTCAGGGGGAGCAGCGGGGGTTGAAATTAGAAACTTGGCTGGTTTGACTCAGTCTGCCAAACGGTTGCTGTATCTCCAGAGTAATTTAGTAATGGTGGTAGCAGCCTAGGCGTATTGCCGATGGAGAAATTGACCTCCAAATTATCTTTCTAAACACATGATTAAATGTCACAGGCACAGTGAGAATTATTCTTGTTACTTACTCAGATTAGATTCAACAGGCTTCCCAAGGATCCTGACTTTTTTTGAAGAGCCACTTAATTAAAGTTTTTTTCCAGCAATAGAGAACTTGACCCAGCTAAACTGAATAAAAATTAAATATTGTATACGCAATTTCAGTTGAAAAATACTCTACAGTTTTTCAAAGAATAGATTTAGTAATAGCTGATATACCTTATTCTAATTGAAAAGCCTGCTTTAGAGAAACATCGTAAAATTGATAGTTACACACTAATGAAACACTTGACATCCAGGATGTTCCTAGACCAAATACTATTTGGCAAGTGCTAGAAATCTCATTGTCCTTTAATCATTTGTTGAATGTATTGTTTAGATCGTTCTATTACATGAAAATATAAGGGCAAAATAATTAATTAACAGAGGTGTTTTCCAGTGCTGACTAATATACTAGAGAGGTTTGGAAAAATTGCAATGCTGAAGGTAATGCTGGCAATTTCCCTACTTTTTGTTTTGTTTTGTTTTTCATTGCAGGTCACTGCCAAGGGATTTGGTCCGTTGTTGCAGTTTGCCTACACCGCTAAGCTATTACTCAGCAGAGAGAACATACAAGAGGTCATCCACTGTGCCGAATTTCTACGTATGCACAACCTGGAGGATTCCTGCTTCAGCTTCCTCCAGACCCAACTGCTGAACAACGAAGATGGCCTGTTCCTGTGCAAAAAGGATCTCACCTATCAGCGGATGCATGAAGATGAGAACTCGGAGGGAGAAGAGGAAGAAACTATGGAGTCAGAGACTTCAAAGATATCTTGCTCAAGAGAGAGAATTCACTCGGAGCCCTTTGACTTTGAACCCGCCACGTCTGGAGCCAGTAAGGAGGAAGGGATGCTGCCAGACCCTGAAATACTGGATGATGGCAAGGATAGTTTGGATAAAGAAGTAGTAACACGGTACCCCAGGTATAAGAAATACCAGCTAGCTTGTACCAAGAATGTCTACAACGCATCACACGTTAGTACCTCAGGTTTCACAAGCACATTCAACGAAAAAGGTTCAGGTGATGACCTCAAACCAGAACTTGGTGTCGGGCAAATTAAAAGTGAGCCTAGGAATGAGGAAAACAATGAAGAAAACATCACACTTTGCCTCTCTGGAGATGAGACTGGTGTCAGGGATAAAGAAGAGGATATTGAAATGGACCGAAAGCAGCCAAGTCCCAATGGATCTGGAAGGTCTAAAAATAGTTCCTCTCCTTCCTGCCTAAGATCTTTCTTCAACCGAACAAAAACTGTAGACGTAGATGGCTTCCCAAGTACTTCCCAACAGCACTTTGCCAGAAATCCAGCATGCCCTTTTGACAAGGGGACAACTCAGGGTGACCATAAAGCTGATTATGTCCCTTTTGTGGGCAGTTATGGGCTCTCCCAAGGTGTTCAGAAGGATGCTTCCAGTTTTACAGTGGGATCACCTCTAAGAGGTCCTGGCTTTGTTGAAGGTCTTTGTAAGCAGGAAGGTGAAGTGGACAGGAGGACTGTTATATTCTCTTCAAATGTTTGTGACCAAGTAAACACTTCGGTGCATTCATATTCTGGCATGAGCAGCTTGGATAAAGATCTCACCGAGACTGTGCCAAAAGGTCTGTGGGCAGGAAGCAGCCAATCTCTTCCCAGTTGCCAGACCTATGCCCATATTGGACAAACAGCTGACCACTTCCCAGGACGGATGCGACCCAACACCAGCTGCCCAGTGCCAATTAAAGTTTGTCCTCGGTCTCCTCCTCTGGAAACCAGAACAAGGACCTCCAGTTCATGTTCCTCCTACTCTTATGCAGAGGATGGCAGCGGTGGTTCTCCCTGTAGCCTGCCTCTGTGTGAGTTTTCATCTTCCCCCTGTTCTCAAGGAGCTCGATTCCTGGCCACTGAGCATCAGGAGACGAGCATGATGGGAGATGGAATATACAGCCAAGTCAGACCCCAGATAAAATGTGAGCCATCCTATGGAACAAACTCTAGCGATGAGTCTGGATCGTTCTCTGAAGCAGACAGTGAGTCATGTCCTGTGCAAGACAGAGGACATGAGGTAGGGATCTGTGATAAGTACACCTGCTAACACTTCTTGTGACCCATTCAGAAAGTCATTATTAACCTAATGGCCTTCTTTGTATACAAAATACAGAGAATAGTCACTTTTGTCCAATATTCTATTGATGATGGAGTCAAGCTCATTGATTACTGGAAATATGTCTGAGAGAGTAAGAAGCCATAATATAAAAAGGTTCCACAAAGGCTTAAAGCTGCTTGATCTCTTAATTATAGTGGTAACTGTGGAGCTAGGGAATACCTCATAGCAGGTTTGCTTCTCTCCCTGCCCTCCACTTGTGGCCTAAAAATGTCCCTGTTCCTTTACGTTTTGGACCAGTCATCATTAGCATTAGTCGTCGTACTCAGGTTTTTTTTAACAATATTTAATTCATACCAGCTTATCTATCAATTCAGTATGCTGATTGGTAGTAGCTGTAATTTGCACGCTTTTGGAATAAAAATTCTGATCAGAGTGAGCTCTAAAATTCTAAAATTCAATAGAAGAGAATGTCCATGCAAAATGAGGAAGGGAAGAGAAAGCAGTCTTCTGCTCTGGGTACAACAAGTGTGTTTATTTGATCATTTATCTTTGTTTTACTTATGTTACTTTTGTATACTTTGTTGTATAGTCTGTTCAGAGAGAGGAAAAGGGGACTTGATCATATACCTTAAGTCATATCCTTGATCCCTATGGTTTCCTAAAGTTATATGACTCTCTTAGTTACCCAGTTAAGCTTTTCATCTGTAATGCCTTTAATAATTGCAACACCTGTTAAAAGGGTTAATAAGCAACCAGAGAGAAATTGAGTGAGCAGGGGGGAAAGCCATAAGGGACATATACAAAACTGATAATATCTGCACAGATGTGTTAGCCAGCCTGCTATTATTCTTAACAGCATGAAATCCATTCCTTCAGTCAATTCATTGAGGAATAAATGTGCAGTTACTGCTTGTTCATTGTGAAACGCTGACTCTCCCTCAAGTTAGCTTGAATTATTGCAAATTTTAAAACTTACGCTGCTGATACTGTAGAATACATTTACTGGTAGGTGCCATTATTTGCTTTGCAGACTCAATTGATGAAACAATTATTTGTCCATCTTATTTTGATCATAGTGTACAAAACTCTTACCAATTTGGCTTCAGAAAACATAGCATTTTTATTTGTGGTTCCTTTATTTCTCACCAACTAATTCCTGTAGCAGTCATATATGTGCATGCTGATCTTTATAAGCATAGACACATCACAGCATTTGAAGGTCTTTCCCAAGACTTTCATGGCTGCTCTTCCAAGTACTATCCTGTGCTGTACTTCTTAATTGCATGTTGCTTTATTGTTCATGGTTGATCCTAAAAGGATAAATCTATACACTACTTCAGTATCTTCATTGTTGATTCTAAAGCTGATTGTTCTGTCTGCTGTCATTAGTTTAGTTTGTGCTTCATATTTAATTTTAGTCCCCTTTTTTTAGTACGAGGGCTTGCAGATTCTTTGCATTTTCTTCTCTGTCACTTGCAATAGATCAGTGGGTATTCCATTAATTCCTGTAGCCTTGTGACTTGTTAATGCTTGGAGTGGTGATCTAACTATTAGTACTAGAGGTTCTTGTAAAATAAAGAATATCTTCTAAGGTATCCTAGATGTTATCATCTCTACTGTAGAGTATTTCAGCATACTCATTCCATCTTCCTTTAATGTCCTTTGAGTTGGTTATCTGTTGATTGGCATCCTTTAACATACCAGCCTGAGGTTTAAGGGACCTTTTGAAAGATTTTCCTTATTTTTCCATGTCTGTGCCCATCTTCCGCATCTTGACAGAATTTGTTGTAATACTGCTTTTTTGTCTTTAACAGCTCTCTGAAACTGTTAAGTTCCTTTCTGAGAAATCTGCCTTTCTTAGCTTTGGCTTCTCTTCTCCTCTTGGCCATTTCCAGTTTGCTCTGACATCCAGTTTACTTTCTTCTCTTTCTTTCTTTCTTCATATTTTGTCAGTGCCTTTCCCATATGAATCCTTAACTACTTCTTTAAATTCATTCCATAATTCCTCTGGGTATTTTTTCAGTGAGGTTCAGGGCTACAATGCAATTCATGATGTTCTCCTTGGAAATGAGAGTATAAATTCAAGATCACCTTGTGGAAACTGACTAGCTTTCTTCTTCTTTAGCTTAACTTGGTGTTTGCACACGAACAGTTCATGGTCTCTTCAGTCAACACCTGATCATGTCTTTGATGTTGTAATTGAGTTCCTCAACCTTCTTTTAGCAAAAACATAGTAAAATGTATTTCTGTATATTGAATTCCATCTGGTAATGTCCGTGTATATAGGCCTGGTTTTGGTAGTCTGAAGGCAATGTTAGCTATGAAGAAATCATCAGAGTGGGAGAAATTGATAAGTTGGACTCCTACTTCATTTTAATTCCAGAAGCTATACAACCGTGATGGGGAACCTATGGCACGCGTGCCACAGGTGACACACAGAGCTATTTGTTAGGACACGCAAAGTGTTGTCCTGTCATCTGGCCAGCGTGCATGTGCATGCTGGCCAGCTGACTTCAGCCTTCTTTTGAGGCTGTTTTTCTCCCTCTGGAGGCTTCCCTGAAGCCTCCAAAGTGCAAAAAAATGGGCAAACTGGAAGTTCAGGAACAGATTGCTCGTAGGACCGATTTTCGACCTCCGGAGCCTTCAGGGGCCTTCAGAAGGACAAACCTGGTTTGCTCATAGGGCCAGTTTTTGCCCTCCAGAGCCTTCAGGGAAGCCTCCTGAAGGCTCTGGAGGTTGAAAATCGGCCCTACGGGGAACCCGAAGGTTCGGGAATGGTGACTTCTGGTTTGTCCGTAGGGCTGATTTCCAACCTCCGAAGCCTTCAGAGGCCTTCAGGAGGCTTCCCTGAAGGCTCCAAAGGGCAAAAACCCGCTCTACGAGCAAAAAGGTCCATTTTTCGTTACCATTCCCAAACTTCCGTGTTGATCATTGATTGCATTGTAGCCAAGTACTATTCCTGCTATGTCCTTCATAATTATAAAAGCAACACCATTTCTTCTTTGTTTTTCATGCCCTAATGGGCAGCACGATGACTCAGTGGTTAAGATGTTGGCTTGTTGGCTGGAAAGTCAGCAGCCCAAATTTGAAATCCGAGTACCACGTGACAGTGAGCTTCATCCCAACTCCTGCCAACCTATCAGTTCAAAAGCATGCAAGGGTGAGTAGATAAATAGGTACCACTTCTGCAGCTATGCTGTTCGGAAAACAACAGCATTCCCTGACATTATACTGGCCACATGACCATGGAAATGTCTTCTGACAGTGCTGGCTCAATGAAAGGGAGATGAGCACTGCCTCATACTCTGCAACAACTAGCAGAGTAATATCTGCAGGGACTCCTTTACCTTTTTTACCTTTCATGCCCTAATAACCAGTGTGATCTTCTGACAGAAAATGTCTGGTTCCAGTCCACTCAATTCATAATTGCTTCATTTAATCTTTCACTGTGTTGAGCTTTGTTGTGTCCATGCTTCCTACATGTCATGTTTCTATTATAATTCTGTCTTTGCACCTTTGAATTTCTTTTCTTGTATGGCAATAGCAATAGCAGTAGACTTATATACCGCTTCATAGGCCTTTCAGGCCTCTCTAAGCGGTGTACAGAGAGGTGGTATATTGCCCCCAACCATCTGGGGCCTTATTTTATCCTCCTCGGAAGGATGGAAGGCTGAGTCAACCCTGAGCC